GGTTACTCCTTTGCTTTTTGTTAAGAAAAAAAATAAAAAAAAATAAAATAAAAATTAAAAAAAGAATAAAAAAAGGGGGGAGCAAGGAAGAATAGTTCCCAGAAGGAATGAAAGGGCCGGAAATCTCCCTCCGCGCCCAAGAGGACCTCAGCACCGCTAGTAGTGCAGATGCAGCATGGAACCCGTGCCATACCCTACCCTTCATGCCAGTAAACCAGCAATCCGGGATAGCAACCTCACATCTGCCGAGCTACCTCAGTGGACAAAAGAGGGCAGCCGGATATCCGCCACAAAGCATACCTCCTTCGGCCACCACCCCTGGAATCCGAAAGGTGGCTTCCAGAGATACACCCGTCGCCCGAAAGACACCCAAAGCTACTCCGGGATACCGGAGAGGGATCGGGACATCCCCAGGCAATCCAGATTCCACGGCAAACTACGCCACCGCCAAGAACCTCAACGGAATGGGATGGACCCCGGTGTCCTTTCCCCTACCTAGGAACTAGCGCGCCTGTGGGAGAAATCCCAAAGGCCAAAAAGGGGAAGAGCAAAAGGGAGGGGTGGGGAGGAGGAGAAGGAATGGAAAAAGGGGAGGATGGGGAGGATGGGATAGGGGAGGGGAGAATGGGGGGTAGTTAGGTTCGGTCTGAGGAAGAAGACCGACAGGGCTAATTCCTCAGACCAAGAGCCTCTTCACCACGCCAAGGAGCCCCCCTTGAAGAGGTATAGTAGCTACAGTATTTTTCGGCATATAAACCATGCTTTTTTCCCACAAAAAGCCTCAGAAAATCAGCCTGCGTCTTATATGGTCAAGGTCAGGGTCAAGGGTAGGCTTGGGGTTATACTTTAGCAGTTGTTTACTAATGTTGTTACAACTGCTTAGTAACCTCGTCTTATATACTCCTGCGCCTTATTTACCGGAAAATACAGTAGCTAACTTTCGTTCCCACTGCGTAACTATAATATAGAATAGGCCAGCAGCACACTACACTTGTATCCAATTTTGATAAGAGGCACGTGTAGATTCAATTATTCACTCCTTGATCCTCTTAACATACAGAATACACACTATTAAATGTTGCAATAATATACTGAAATATTAACAGTCTAGTTTGGATATTAATATTCTAGCTTTGATGATAATCCAGTTAAGCGTTAAACCCCTCCAGCTTTCACAAAATATCCATAGTTTAACTTACGGTCTTGCAGGTGTTACGAGGGTCAAGTGTGGTTATCCTAGATTTACTCAAATGTTCTTTTATGTGCCTATAACAATGTGGCCTCAAGAACATCATTGAACATTTGCATGTTTTGTCCACTAAACTTACGTTAAACTTGCGTAATATTACTGTACTTATTTTCTTGAAAACTAGTCAGTCTTACTTAGAGAAAAGTTTAGAATGATTTTAGTCTGTGTAGGTTCTAGTTTCTATTTTTTTTATGAGGTGGGAAGAGTTGAAATACTGCTTTTCATGGAATAACTTCTGAGTGTCGCATCTGATTACCTTCAACCTTCCAGGCTGATAACTTGATAATGCGATCTCTGAGCGGCTTCCAACTTAATGTGCTTGGATATTTTCGAATATTGGTCTCTGAATTATTATTATAAAAAAAAGAAGCGCTAAACCATACAGCGCTGCAGGACAGGGAAGGAAACGAGAGTATCGGATAGCAAGAGAGATGATTAGTAGGTTATGGAGAACAGCGGGGCAGTGGATAGTGCAGGGGTAGAGGGTAGCAAGAGATTGAGGTAGAAAGGGTTGAGGGGAGTGCGAAAGGCATCATCATCAGAGTTTGTGGAGTAAATCAGTCGTTGTCAATGAGAAAGTCAGGATTAAAGGAGGTTCCATCAGCAAGAAGGGAAGGTAGAGAGAGAATAGTAGAGCGGAGACGACGTTGGAGGTAAATTCTGCGTGCTCGTTCATAGAGAGGGCAGTGTAACAATGTGGCTAACAGACACTGGAACCTGACAATTCTCACAGAGAGGAACAGGGCACCTCTCTGTGAGATACCCATGAGTAAGATGAGTGTGGCTAATGCGAAGACGGGAGAGTCTCCCAACCTCGACACTGGAGTTTACCTTGAGAGTTCCGGGGGTCAACGCCCCCGCGGCCCGGTCTGTGACCAGGCCTCCTGGTGGATCAGAGCCTGATCAACCAGGCTGTTACTGCTGGCTGCACGCAAACCAACGTACGAGCCACAGCCCGGCTGGTCAGGAACCGACTTTAGGTGCTTGTCCAGTGCCAGCTTGACTGCCAGGGGTCTGTTGGTAATCCCCCTTATTTATGCTGGGAGGCAGTTGAACAGTCTCGGGCCCCTGACACTTATTGTATGGTCTATTAACGTGCTATTGACACCCCTGCTTTTCATTGGGGGGATGTTGCATAGTCTGCCAAGTCTTTTGCTTTCGTAGCGAGTGATTTTCGTGTGCAAGTTCGGTACTAGTCCCTCTAGGATTTTCCAGGTGTATATAATCATGTATCTCTCCCGCCTGCGTTCCAGCGAATACAGGTTTAGGAACCTCAAGCGCTCCCAGTAATTGAGGTGTTTTATCTCTGTTATGTGCGCCGTGAAGATTCTCTGTACATTTTCTAGGTCAGCAATTTCACCTGCCTTGAAAGGTGCTGTTAGTGTGCAGCAATATTCCAGCCTAGATAGAACAAGTGACCTGAAGAGTGTCATCATGGGCTTGGCCTCCCTAGTTTTGAAAGTTCTCATTATCCATCCTGTCATTTTTCTAGCAGATGCGATTGATACAATGTTATGGTCCTTAAAGGTGAGATCCTCCGACATGATCACTCCCAGGTCTTTGACGTTGGTGTTTCGCTCTATTTTGTGGCCAGAATTTGTTTTGTACTCTGATGAACACTGGTGACAAGAAGACGGCCAGTAACCTATACTCGGTTTAATAGAATGAAGTTTGTTATTGAGCAGATCAGACCAGCATTGTTGCCAACGGGTTTGAAGGTGGGTAGTTATTACAGCAAAATAGTCCGTGAATGGAACACCTATGAAACTGGAAGGTCATGTACTGCTGACTGCGCAGCAGTGTCTGCCTGTTCAATGCCCTGTACGTCAGCATGACCAGGGACCCAACAAAAAACTTTATGCTTGGTAAAGATACGGCATAACCAAAGTTGGATACGGAGAACTAGGGGGTGAGGTGTATAAAATTTTCGTATAGCCTGTAAAGCACTAAGAGAGTCTGAAAAAACCACAAATGGTGACAGGCATAGATGCAATATGGATAAGTGCTGCAAGAATGGCATACAATTCAGCAGTAAAAATGCTAGCCGAGGACAGTAAATGCCCTCGCGCGACACCGTCCAGAAACTGCTGCAAATCCAACGCTGTCAGAAGACTTAGAGCCATCTGTGTACTCTGCAGTGGCATGAGAATGAGAGCGGAAGTGGTCAAGAATTAGAGCGGGAAGCTACAGTAGGCAGTCGAGCTTTCGTGCAAGGGAGTGAGAAAGAACAGACTCGAACAGCTAGAACATCCCAGGTGGGTAGGGAAAAGTGAGATGTTACACGAACATAGAAAGGTGGTAACTGAAGGGAAGACAAAAGCGAATGGAGGCGAAAAGGGACGGAGTAAACAGGGACGACGAACAAATAATGTCTACTAACATCGGTGACTATTCTATATATGGGAGGATTGCGATGGTCATGAGAGCGAACATAGTGAAGGAAATGGGCATCACAGCGATCGGACAAGGATAGAGGCTCTCAACAGGGGAAGAGCGAAAAGCACCAAGGCATAAACGTAATCCTTGGTGATGGATGGGGTTAAAACTAGAGTAGCAGGAGAGGCCGCTGATTAGATCTGGTCACCATAATCGAAATTCGATAAAATAAGGGCTGAATGTAGGCGAAGGAGAGTTCGACGATCAGCTCCCCAGGAAAGATGAGCAAAAGTTTTAAGGTTCAGTCGGCTGTGACAAGTTGCCTTCAGAGAGGTAATGTGGGGTTTCCAGGATAACCTACGGTCAAAGAGAAGGCCTAGAAACCTGACTATCACGTTCAGGGAAACGGGAGCCATAGAGGTACAAAGGATGATCGGAGATGGCAGAGCGTCTAGTGAAAGTAATTTGGCGAGTTTTAGTAGTGGAAAATTTAAACCCATACGTGGTGGCCAAATAGGAAACATGGTTGACTGCCTGCATGCTGGAGAGAAACTGTAATGAGGTGACAGTCAGCGCCTGCACAAGCAATAGCGAAGTCATCAACACAGTGATGACCAAATATTGCATGGAAGAAGAGAGGCCAAATCATTTATAGCAGGGAGAAAAAGTGTTGTGCTCAGGACACATCCCTGAGGGACACCTTCAGCTCGGACAAAGTCCGGGGAATCCTGGGACAAAATGGACCTAATTTGTCCGAAATTCTCAGCATAACAAGCGGCTTTCTGTATAGTAGTATGTCATTGAAGTCAGCTAGGACTGTATACCTTGTACATGTACTTGTAGTAATAAAAGATATTAGTGTGGTATTCCTGTATGGTGGAGAGGTTATACGTAGCCTCAGTGACACTCGTGTAGTAGATAGGCTATAAACCCCATTAACCAATCAGCAATTGTCCTCGTTGAACCAGGATGAGAGGGATAGTACTCACGGTAGTTGTCCTCGTTGTTCTAGGATGAGAGGGATAGTACTCATGGTAGTTGTCCTCGTTGTCCCAGGATGAGGGACTGTACTCACGGTAGTCCTCGTTGTTCTAGGATGAGAGGGATAGTACTCACGGTAGTTGTCCTCGTTGTCCCAGGATGAGGGACTGTACTCACGGTAGTTGTCCTCGTAGTCCCAGGATGAGAGAGAGTACTCACGGTAGTTGTCCTCGTTGTTCCAGGATGAGGGATAGTACTCACGGTAGTTGTCCTCGTTGTCCCAGGATGAGGGATAGTACTCACGGTAGTTGTCCTCGTTGTCCCAGGATAGGAGGGATAGTACTCACGGTAGTTGTCCTCGTTGTTGTTCCAGGATGAGGGGGATAGTACTCACGGCAGTTATCCTCGTCATCCCAGGTGAGAGGACAATCTACGTGGCCATCACAGACTCTGTGGTTGTCTAGACAGGGACCAGAGCCACACCTCAGCTGGTCACGACCACATTCATAACCAGCTGCGAAGAAGAAGACCGTCTTTGAAGACCATCTGTGAATAAGACCAGCGTGAATAAGACTAGCTGTGAAGATCACCAGCTGTGACCACCAGTACCAGCTGTGAACACCACCACCAGCTGTGACCACCACCACCAGCTGTGACCACCACCAGCTGTGAAAACGCTCAGGACGCCAGAATTCACTAGGAGGTGGGACCAGGACGTGTGTCTCGAACCCCCTCCTCCCAAAAACACAACTCGGCGAGTACAAATCAGGCGAGTGAAAGAGTAGACAAGAATTGATTTAAGGCTAAAGTTGATACATAAAGAGAGGAGAATAAATGAAACATACACATACAGTGTGGAATACATCAGCTAAGTATACACACACAAAGATAACTATGTATATTATAGATAAATTCAAGTTGTATTCATTTAGATAAATTAGATATAGATAATTTGAATTTGAAAGTGTAAAATACTCATTTCCAATATTCAGTCGTAGGTTTAAATAGGTAAGGGAGAACAAATAGGTAAGGGAGAACAAATAGGTAAGGGAGGAAAAAATTAAAAATCAATGGTAAGGAGAACAAATAGGTAAGGGGAGAACAAATAGGTAAGGGGAAAACAAAAGGTAAGGTGAACAAAAAGGTAAGGGAGAACAAATAGGTTTAAAGGGAGGACAAATAGGTAAGGGAGAACAAATAGGTAAGGGAGAACAAATAGGTAAGGGAGAACAAATAGGTAAGGGAGAACAAATAGGTAAGGGTGAACAAATAGGTAAGGGTGAACAAATAGGTAAGGGAGAACAAATAGGTAAGGGAGAACAAATAGGTAAGGGTGAATATCATCCCAAAAGCTTGACAGATTTCAAAATGAAACTTATCCTTATGAACAGTAAAGTGACTTACAGCGCTTCCAGGCCTTTCTAGTTCCCTCTTATATATACTACTACCAGCAGTATCACTATCATTACTCCCTTCACTACTACCAGCACTGCTATCATTACTACCATCACTACTACCAGCACCACTATCATGACTATCACTACTACCAGCACCACTATCATGACTATCACTACTACCAGCACCACTATCATGACTATCACTACTACCAGCACCACTATCACGACTACCATCATTACTACCATCATTACTACCATCACTACTACCATCACTACTACCATCACTACTACCATCACTACTACCATCACTACTACCATCACTACTACCATCACTACTACCATCACTACTACCAGCACCACTATTACAACTACCATCATTACTACCATCACTACTACCAGTACCACTATCACAACTACCATCACTACTGCCAGTATTACCTCAGAGACTAACAAGAAACCCACATGTTGAGTTAACATCACAGATGGAGTTTGTCATACCATGAGAAGATAGGTGACTGTGTATGTGGGAGAAACAGCTATACACACACATACACACACATGAATTGTGAATTGATAAATTTCTTGGTGGCCGAAACGTCTTCAAACTTTAATCTAGTTTGTCCTACAGGAATATTGTAATGCAAGTGGCTTTTATATGCTCTAACACACAGAATTTACTTGTAAAATTTTTGGAGCATCTCTCTTCTCTGGAGCACAAAGAAATTTGGTTTTCCGGTCGAAATATTAAACATTATGATGCCATAACCCGTAATGTACGTTGTTTACAAATGCCTCCCCTAAATTTATTTAGGTATACACAATACATTACATAGATATTAACAAGATATGTGTAGAGAACTTAGGATAACCCCCAAAAAAAAGTCAGAGCGATTTTTCCATGGGTCCTCAACGATTACAGGTTAAAGGAAGCTTCTGACAATCACAGAGAGAGATGCGTTTCTCCCTGATACACTTGCAACAATGGAGCTGCAGGGTTGGTCCTCGACCCAATCAAAGGATAATCGTAAAAAAGCTTGTAAGCTCAGCTAATAGAGGCGTGTGGGAGAAGAGGTAAGAGAAGTGGAGCGTAGGGCAGGGAAACAGAGGGGTAAGAGGTAAAGGAAGAGGGTAGGGAAAGAGGGGAGAGATGAAGCCGAGGGTAAGAAGGATTTGAAGAATCAAGATATGAAAGGGAGGAGAGGAGGGGGATAAAGGGATTTATGGAATGTGGAAGAAGAAAGGGAGGAAATGGTATGTGAAGGGGGGTGAAAGGGAGGCAGTGAGATATGGAGGAAGAACAAGGGGAGTAAATGGGATGTGGAAGGGTAAACAAGGGGAAGAAATGAGATATGGAAAGGCGAACAGAGAGAGAAACTAGGATATGAAGAGAGAGCAAACAGAGAAGCAGAAAAGTTGGAGAGAATAAAAAGGAGCGTTAAGTAAAGGGTAGATCAAGGGACACACTCACAGCAGTTGAGGAGGTGAGAGAGATCTGCACAGCCGTTCCTCTTGTCCACCGCAGCATCACAGCGCAGATGAGCTGGGATACACTGACCGCTGCTGCACCGGAACTCTCCACTGCTGCACACACTGCTGCGTCCTAAACAAAAAAAAAGGGTACAAAGATACAACAAAGACAATCCCTGTCTGGGTAACGTATGGCCTTCACGGCATTTTTTTTCCCACTGGAGGTATATCAACAGGCAGGTCTACTCTTGTTAACCCTCGTTTAATGCCAGGGTTGTAAGACTTCCAGCGCTATTCATGTATCGTAACAGTATCAACAAATTAATGAATTAGACACATGGGTAACACGCGTGTATCTATCTTCAAGACAATGGTCAAGTAGTGGTTTCAGTAATACAGAGCGTATTAAGTGAAACTAGACCGTTAATAGCTAATAAAAAACAGTAGTGCTAAGAACGCATATTTGGGAACATCTGTTTGAACAAAGTCTTAAGGGAAGCTCTTGTTCATTGTGAAGACTAAGAATTGACCTCTTAGGCCACAAGAATGAACCTGAGATAATATAACGACATGTCTTACAGCGTTTTATTGTATGTAAAGTCAGATTGCCACTGACAGCTTCGGTAAAAACATTGTCAATGTACCGAGCGGAAATAAAGGTGTAATAGAATGACATCTTGTGTATTCAGATGAATGTGGAAATATACAACTGTGTCTCCAGATACCACACAAGGCGAAGAACGAGACATTTGTGCAACATTTGGGAATCTTTACTGAGGAAACGTTTCGCCAGCCAGTGGCTTCTTGAATCCAATACAGAGACGAACGGTGGAAGATGAGGAGAATGAGGTAATCAGTCCCTCAGGATTGATGGATTGAACACGTCGACTCCAGGCTGAAGGACTGATTACCTCATTTTCCTCATCTTCCACTGTTCTTCTCTGTACTGGACTGAAGAAGCCACTGGCTAGCGAAACGTTCCCCCAACAAAGATTCCAAAATGTAGCTCAAGTGTCTCATTCTTCAACTTGTTGATTTTCTAAGCCATTTATATCGCATACCACACCAGTCTTCTGTTAACCAGATATTCAGTTTACAAAGGTAACCAGTGAAAGATCTATAATGGATTTATAATGGATGTATAATGGCTCAACATTCCTGGGTTTCGACAAGAGAGGAGCATAACAGGTTTCCACTAATGGCTAACACTCCTGAAGACTACACACACTGAAGATAACAGGTTTACTGCTGAAGTGTAAATGATGCAGTTTATCATAAGGCACAGCTGCCATACGTTGACAAGACGGCACCGGGGAAGCTCAAGAGAGGTGAACGGAAAATTGTATGTTTATCTATGCAGGTGGTGAAGTTTAAACCAGCAGAGTCCTGAAGTGATTTAGACTGAAGTTGGGAGGTGGGTGTGTCCCACGGGTAAGCCTGGACAAAGTGATAACCGACTGGGTTTTGTGAATTCAACAGTCTCCACTAATTATACACCAGGATTGTGATGGACTGGAGTTGCTTCAACGAAATTGGTTAATTCCACGGTAACGCTGGAATCACTTGCTAATTTTCCTAACTTTTCCCATTCTGCATCCTTATGAACGGTGTACAGTAAAAGGACAAGTGCAACTAATGTGACATTTTATTGTGGCAACGTTTCGCTCTCCAGGAGCTTTGTCAAGTCGTTACAAACAGTACATGGACACAGAAGGCATATAAAGGCAGAGTGAGGTGCAAGACTAGTGGTGGTAATAGAATGGTGGCATTTAAAATGGAAAGATAAGCACACTTGGCTGTTCGTATGATCACATGCTATGCATGTTATACGACAATGCCCACAATAGTGGGCACTGTTGTATTTACGTCGCTACTGACTCCCACATCAGAGTCGGGTAACCCTAACACAACCTGGTAATACAAGAGGTACTGTTTTACCGTAATGTTCACTCGAGGTTACCGACACAGCGAGTTCAGCGGCTGAGAGAAGAAATGTAACAAATATAACTCATCAATGGCGGTATTTATAATGAAAGAAGACGTTTAACAATCAAATTCGCCTATTCAAGACAGTTATCAAGAACGACGATTAGGATGAATATAGGAATAAGAATTAGGAATAATGGGGAGGCGGTCACCAAGATCATTTACTACTGCACAATCAACGTCTATCAGTAGCGACACCGACTAAGCTTTAAGATCAGTACATAGTACAGGGAGTTTCAAAACGATGGATCCAATTTCAAAACAGTTTTTTTTTTTAAATTGGGTCCATTTTCGTATACGCTTGAGGGATCTACATAGGTCGAAGCTGGGGTATTTAGAACCAAATACACGGCAAGGGAGAGCTGCACACGGCTGTCAAATCATAATTTACCAAGTCAATATGGATACCAACTTAGCTTAAATTCCTTAAATAAACACTTTCGTAAGCATTGATATTCCCTCGAAGAGTATTTAACAAAATTCATATTGTGTCATGTAGGGGTTTAAACGTGGAGCAAGAGCACTCACGTAGGCTGTTAAGTACGTATAATTACAACGGAAAATATGGGAAGCACCGGCCCGGCCTGCCTCTCTGCTCTCCATCTTAAGACTGACTCACGAATGATGCCTAGGGGTGACCGGGGTTCAAAAACATGCTGTAGTCAGCAGCAACAGTGAATAAATGATTCACACAGACGGTTTGTAGTGAGTCATACTACTGGTAACTGGTTACTGGTAACTGGTTACTAGGAGCTGGTACTACTGATGAATCACTGGCTGCGATAACAGATATTAAAAATATATATAAACAACCGCCCACAACATGAGAAAACAGGAAATTGAGATTTGTGTTTTATTTGTTACTTTCAAAGCCAATGTAATTTAAATTGTGTTGTTCAACTACAAAAAGATTTTTGTGTTTTCATTACAAGATCATCAGTTTAGAGCGACTTTGTGTGACACTGCGGTACACGTGCCCGTGTGACACTGCGGTACACGTGCCCGTGTGACACTGCGGTACACGTGCCCGTGTGACACTGCGGTACACGTGCCCGTGTGACACTGCGGTACACGTGCCCGTGTGACACTGCGGTACACGTGCCCGTGTGACACTGCGTACACGTGCCCGTGTGACACTGCGGTACACGTGCCCGTGTGACACTGCGGTACACGTGCCCGTGTGACACTGCGGTACACGTGCCGTGTGACACTGCGGTACACGTGCCCGTGTGACACTGCGGTACACGTGCCCGTGTGACACTGCGGTACACGTGCCCGTGTGACACTGCCGTACACGTGCCCGTGTGACACTGCCGTACACGTGCCCGTGTGACACTGCGGTACACGTGCCCGTTGACACTGCCGTACACGTGCCCGTGTGACACTGCCGTACACGTGCCCGTGTGACACTGCCGTACACGTGCCCGTGTGACACTGCCGTACACGTGCCCGTGTGACACTGCCGTACACGTGCCCGTGTGACACTGCCGTACACGTGCCCGTGTGACACTGCCGTACACGTGCCCGTGTGACACTGCCGTACACGTGCCCGTGTGACACTGCCGTACACGTGCCCGTGTGACACTGCCGTACACGTGCCCGTGTGACACTGCCGTACACGTGCCCGTGTGACACTGCCGTACACGTGCCCGTGTGACACTGCCGTACACGTGCCCGTGTGACACTGCCGTACACGTGCCCGTGTGACACTGCCGTACACGTGCCCGTGTGACACTGCCGTACACGTGCCCGTGTGACACTGCCGTACACGGGCCCGTGTGACACTGCCGTACACGGGCCCGTGTGACACTGCCGTACAAGTGCCCGTGTGACACTGCAGTACAAGTGTCCGTGTGACACTGCAGTACAAGTGTCCGTGTGACACTGCAGTACAAGTGTCCGTTTTGACACTGCCAGTACAAGTGTCCGTGTGACACTGCAGTACAAGCGTTTCCCTGTGACAAATGCAGTACAAGGCGTTTCCCTGTGACACTGCAGTACAAGCGTCCGTGTGGCACTGCAGTACAAGTGTCCGTGTACACTGCAGTACAAGCGTTCCGTGTGGGCACTGCATACAAGCGTCCGTGTGGCACTGCAGTACAAGTGTTTCCCTTTTGACACTGCAGTACAAGTGTCCGTGTGACACTGCAGTACAAGCTCCGTGTGGGACTTTCAGTACAAGTGTCCGGTGACACTGCAGTACAAGTGGGCCGTGTGGACACTGCAGTACAAGCGTCCGTGTGACACTGCAGTACAAGTGTCCGTGTGACACTGCAGTACAAGTGTCCGTGTGACACTGCAGTACAAGTGTCCGTGTGACACTGCAGTACAAGTGTCCGTGTGACACTGCAGTACAAGTGTCCGTGTGACACTGCAGTACAAGCGTTCCGTGTGACCTGCAGTTTCAAGCGTCCCTGTGACACTGCAGTACAAGCGGGCCGTGTGGGCACTGCAGTACAAGCGTCCGTGTGACACTGCAGTACAAGCGTCCGTGTGACACTGCAGTACAAGCGTCCGTGTGGCACTGCAGTACAAGTGTCCGTGTGACACTGCAGTTACAAGGTCCGGTTGTGACACTGCAGTACAAGCTCCGTGTGGGCACTTTTCAGTACAAGCGTCCGTGTGGCACTGCAGTACAAGTGTCCGTGTGACACTGCAGTACAAGTGTCTTTGGACACTGCAGTACAAGTGTCCGTGTGGGCACTGCAGTACAAGTGTCCGTGTGACACTGCAGTACAAGCGTCCGTGTGGCACTGCAGTACAAGTGGGCCGTGTGACACTGCAGTACAAGTGTCCGTGTGACACTGCAGTACAAGTGTCCGTGTGACACTGCAGTACAAGCGTCCGTGTGACACTGCAGTACAAGTGTCCGTGTGACACTGGCCCGTACAAGTGGGCCGTGTGACACTGCAGTACAAAATGTCCGTGTGACACAGCAGTACAAAGGTTTCCCTTTTGGGCACTGCAGTACAAGCGTCCGTGTGACACTGCAGTACAAGTGTCCGTGTGGACACTGCAGTACAAGTGTCCGTGTGACACTGCAGTACAAGTGTCCGTGTGACACTGCAGTACAAGCGTCCGTGTGACACTGCAGTACAAGCGTCCGTGTGACACTGCGTACAAGCGTCCGTTTGGCAAATGCAGTTT